TTTCGTTTTTCTTTTTGGGCCACCCTGCCTTGGTGGGATATGGCCGGTGTGTTGAAAGAAGAAGAATTTGGTATTAAAGGTTATTAATTAATAATCAGTCAATGAAGCAGTCACATAAAGATGAGGAAGTATTTCATAAAGAGTGTTTTGAAGCAGTTGGCAGGTAGTGAGTTCCATGGCATTTCTCAACAGGTTATGCTGAACAAGCAGTATGTTAAATAGATACTTGTTTGTTGTGTTGTCTGTGTTTTGTTGACACACTCGAAGAACAGGAGCAGTAATGGCAATACTGGGGAAAGATAGAGGGGAGGAGGAGGAGGTTACGGCAGTTCAGGCTGTTCCAGAGAATTTTTCTTTTTAATGGTCCATGTGTGTGTTTCTGTGTTCTAGTAGACTCATTTGAGCTTTTATCAAAATTTTTTGGTAAACTGTTCAGAAAAGTGTATTAATATGATTTTTTACCCTTTAGTTTTAAACTACAAAAATTTACATTGAAATAAAAAGTGAGAATCCACCTAGACAGAGAAGTAAACTTTGGTTAAAAAGAAATCTATATCCTTCATCTTCAGTTAAAGACCCTCATCAGCAGCTGTCTTCTTACCCATTTTTTTTTTATTGGTTTCTCGCTCTATATCAAATACTGTTTGACACTTAATCCAACCTTAAACTGAAATAATTTTCATTTAGTTTATTATGCATAGTCAGGGAGTGCAAGTAAATGCAGTACTGTCTTGTAGCTTGAAATATAAAATTTTAGATTTTTTTTTTTTTCAGGGCCTCTTAATGAAGTTGGATGGCTCCCTGTTACCTATTTGTAATGCTGAGGTACAGACAGAAGAAAAAAGCTTCAATTTTTTGTGCAGGTGTCAGGAATCTACATCTGAACCTCTGAAAAGCATCCCATTAGAAGATGCCAAAGATAGACTTAACACAACTCATGAAAAAGCCTATGAATCTCCTGATCTGGTTCAACTGCTTGCCTCAACACCTTTGATCCAGTTAAAACAAGAGATAGCATGTGTCCCAGAGGCTGTGGCATCTAACTCTTCACAGTGCCATGAAGTGGGTATGGCTGTAAATGATGTTGTGGATTTTAAAGAATTTAAATCAGTGGAAACATTGAAGATCAGAGATAACAATTTAAATATAGATTCTCAGATTGAAAAATGTGCATTAACACCTGCATTACATACAACCCTTGATGATAACATGGCTCTGGACTATGGGGCATCTTCACATCTTGAAGAAGATACCCAGGGGCAGATTCTATTAGATGATCTGGTTAGTTTTAATTTACACTTTTATTACTCTTATTTAGCTAACTGCTTTTATTTACCAAACTACCCAAGGTTGGGCTCTGGGAGTAGAAAAACTCTCAGAACTCATCTCTCACTGAGGTAGGGTGGCCCAAAAAAAAAAAAAATATTTCACCATCACTCAAACACTGTCTTCCCAAAAGCATGCTGACATCACAGTTCAGATGACCCTTTGAACTGCAACATCCCTACACTTCACTCAGAGTGCAGGCCGTGGGTTCAATCCCGCCCGTGGTATGGTTTGCAGGCACTAGTTTTCACCTTCCAGCTAACTGGTTTTCCTAAATCCCTATGTAAATGTTACTTTGTTCACACTAACAGCATGTCAAATCATAAACTACTTACCTCCACTCCTGTTTAACATGCTCACACAAGCCTCTTGAATGTCCAAGCCTATAGCACTCAAACTCTCCCTTAACTTCCCCTTCCACCCCTTTCCAGGATGACCCCTACCCTTCCTCCTCCTCCACCCTCTAAATAATAATTTTTGTAACTCCACACCTGATCTCCAAGCTCCAAATAACCTGCATAATATTCACCCTCAAACATGACATGATAAAATGTTTTAGCTTCAAATATTATGTTTCAGCTATTCATCATTATTATTATTATGTTTTAGCTTTAAACATGTTCCATTTTCAATATTATGTTCTATATTTTAATTGTTCCTAGGTAGTAGGTTGGTAGACAGCAACTGCCCAGGGAGGTACTACCATCCTGCCAAGTGAGTGTGAAATGGAAGCCTGTAATTGTTTTACATAATGGATTGCTGGTGTCTTCTTTCTGTCTCATAAACATGCAAGCTTTCAGGTACGTCTTGCTACTTCTACTTACACTTAGGTCACACTACACATGCTTGTACAAGCATATATATACATACTCCTCTGAGTTTTCTTCTATCTTCTTACTAGTTCTTGTCCTTGTTTATTGCCACTTATATCCATGGGGAAGTGGAACAGAATTCTACCTCCGTAAGTCATGCATGTCGTAAGAGGTGACTAAAATGCCGGGAGCAAGAGGCTAGTAACCCCTTCTCCTGTATATATTACTAAATTTAAAAGGAGAAGGTTTTGTTTTTCCTTTTGGGTCACCCTGCCTCGGTGGGATACGGCCAATTTGTTAAAAGAAAGAGATTTTAATTGTTGTATTCTAACTATTAATATTATGTTCCAGCATTTAAATGTTGTGTTTTAGCTTTTAAATAAAGTGTTCTAGCTTTTTTATATGATTATGTTCTAACTTCTAAATAATACAGTAGATCATTGATTGTCCACTCTTTTGGGAAGGTTGTACATCATTTTCAAAAGCATTGGATAATCACATCATTTGTTTAAAGTCCCTGTTGTTTGAACATTTCTTTCTGACATTATCCATACATGTGCTCTCAAGGACCCCAATGGAAATGAATCACATTGTCTGACATTTTGGGTTTTCCTGGGTAATTTACACAATGTGTGATAATTGTACTTATGTATCCCTGTGTCTGAATAAACTTACTTATTCTCTTCAAAAAGCTATGCTGGATAATGTTGAATGTCAAATAAACAATTGCCAGATAATCTCTGATGTACTGTATTATCAGTATATTTTTATTGTAATTATTGTAGCTCTTTTAAATGACTGTCATTGTAATACTTTCCAAACACTAGGCATAATATGGGCTTTACAAAAAAAAAATTGTCTCTAACTTGTATCCTTTAATGTATTTTTGTAAGTAAAATTCTGATTTAGATTCACTATGTAACAAAATTTCACTTTTGTCGTGTTCCTGGGAAATACGCAGCATTTCCCGATTCTTTATAGCTAAACAAAATTTAAAAAAGCAGTTTTGATCCCAGAACTTTGCTTTTGTGGTCAGGACACTTCTGGAACACTTTCAGAAAGACTGATGTAAGGGTTTTGCTTGGCAAATATAAAAACAGGGGCTCACAAACCAGCATTCAGTTCAGCTCTGGCTACCTGAGAAGACACATCAGAAAAAGTGAAATGGCATCAAGAGGCTGCAGTCATTCTCCAGATGCATTCTGCTACATATGTGGTCAGTTCATTGAGACAAGAGCAAGAAGTTCCCTGTAACAGCATCTAAAAAAAAATTGTGAACCCTTGCCAAAGCATATTTTGGCTTTCCATTTGGGACCAAACAAAACCGGGCCCCCTCATGTTGCTTGGAGAAATTGTAAAAAAACCCTTGAAATTAAGAAAGTCATTAGCTATTAAAGGGGGTATAATTTTGAATGGGAAACTTTTTTTTTAAATGAAATTTTATGAACAAAACTAATTTTTTTGTTTTCATGATGGTCAGAGGAGAAAAAAGAGCCAAATTTTTGCTTTTTCCAAATATGGCGTAACCCACTGACCCACTCGACCAACTGCTACTCTCCCTGTGGACCCTTTCCCAAAAGGGCAAACGGGGAAAAAATGCACCTGCTTTTGCACCAGAAACCACCCCGAAACAAAACCTTCTTGTACCTACCCCCCCAGTAAGAATTTAAACCATAAGAAAAAGAAAGCAGTAATCAGAAAAATAAAGAGCACAGGAAAAAGACTATTTTTCTCACAGATGCGGGCTTTGGGAATCCTTGCCCCCAAAACCCAAAACAGACACCCAATGCCTTTAAATTTCAGAAAATTTTGGGTTTAACAAAGTAAAAATGCTGACTATTGATTTAAAGGGCTAAAGGGAGGGGACTTGGGGATGAAAGTGTGAAAAGGAAAAAAACCCAAAAAAAACCATCCCCCACTTTATCTCAACCTTTTCAATAATGAAGACGGGTTTTGGTGCACTGAAAAATGATGTTCGGGCCCCTCTTTTGATGCAATTGGAATTGAAACGCAACCCCGAGGGGTGGTGACTTCATTGATAGCCCCCCCAAAAACCCCTAAAAGCGTACTTCTGCAAAAATGGGAAAAAGTACCCCTTCTTTTCCCCTTTGGGCTTTTTCCCATTGCTTTTTTAAGGGAGGACAACAACATGTCAAACTTTTACGGAACCCGGGAAAACTATGAAAAGAAATGGCTGGGAAAGGTTAAAGGGGGATTTCAAAGGGGTTTGGTTTTTTTTGATGGGACCCAAAGGGAGGTTTTTCAAAGTTTTCCTTGTTACCGGGGTCAGGGGGAATAGTAGAACGGGGCCCGCACATTACCATAAGAACATAAGAAAGAAAGAACACGCAAGGGGCCCCTACGGGACCCATCCCGGAGAAAGGTCCAGCCCCCCCCCCAATTTAAACCAAAGGCCCCCCCCCCCCCCAAATTTGCCCCCAAAGACCCACCCCCGTCCCCGATCATCTCCACTCAAGGATGGGGGCACTGCACCCGACCCAGCACACAAGCAAATTTAGGTCCCAAATCACACCCCAACCCCCCACCCACCAAAGTATTTATCTAACCCATTTTTAAATTACACAACGTTTAGCCCCCCGAAAAAACTGGAACTCGGGAGTTTTTTTTCCCTCATCCACAAAACCCCATTACCAAAACCATGCCTTTCCCATATCCTTCTGTCTGAATTTTTCCAACTTGAAACCATTGGGGCGAGTCCCCGTCTTTGGGTGGAAAAATTTTGGGACCTATTTTCAAACCCCTTTATTTATTCCCCGTTTTCCATTTATTAAAACCTCCATCATATCCCCCCCAGTTCTAACGCCTTTCGAGAGAGTTCAGATTTAGGCCCTCATCCAAACCCCCATAGGGGGAAAATTTCTGATACATGGGATCATCTTTGTCATCCTTTCCCCTGTAACCTTTTCCCCGAGCATTTATAAAAAAAAAAAACCATTTTTGTAATACGGTGGGCCCCGAACTGAGCAGCATAGTCTAAATGAGGGCCCAACCAAGGGTATAAAGAGTTTTAAGAACAACCCCAGGGCTTCTAATTTTTTATACTTCCAGATATGAAGCCAAGAATTTTGTTACTTTTTTGCGAACAAATGCACTTTTTTCCTTTGGTTTTTAAAAATTTCTCTAACCCCGGGAAATCCTAAACCTTTTTTTGCAATCAGGGAAAATTTTTTTCCCGTAAAAGTAGGCCTTAGACAAGGAATTTTTGGGTGTCACCGTGGGTTTTTTAATAAATTTTAATGGGGGGTTTTAAGAGAAGTAAATGAGGGTCTTGGCAAGAGGGGTGGAGTTAAAAGATAAAGAATCAAACATAAAAATGGGGGGTTTCCCCCAGTTTTCCCTTTTCTGAAGACACCCGGGCTCTTTGGGGGGGGATTCCCAAAGAAGTTGGGAGAGATTTTGGATGAAATTTGGGAGGGTGTGCAAAAGAAAAAATTTAAAAATGAATACGGAAAGAGTAAGGGGTTTGAAAGGGTAACAAAAAGATTAGGTATGAAAAAATTGGATAAACAGAAATTGGGGGGGAGAGTAATGGAGGAGGTGAATGTATTCAGATATTTGGGAGTTGACGTGTCAGCGGATGGGTCATGAAAGATGAGGTGAATCATAGAATTGATGAGGGGAAAAGGGTGAGTGGTGCACTTAGGAGTCTGTGGAGACAAAGAACTTTGTCCTTGGAGGCAAAGAGGGGAATGTATGAGAGTATAGTTTTACCAACGCTCTTATTGTGGTGTGAAGCATGGGTGATGAATGTTGCAGCGAGGAGAAGGCTGGAGGCAGTGGAGATGTCATGTCTGAGGGCAAATGTGTGGTGTGATATAATGCAGAGAATTCGTAGTTTGGAAGTTAGGAGGAGGTGCGGATTACCAAAACTGTTGTCCAGAGGGCTGAGGAAGGGTTGTTGAGGTGTTCGGACATGTAGAGAGAATGGAGCGAAACAGAGTGACTTTAAGAGTGTATCAGTCTGTAGTGGAAGGAAGGCGGGGTAGGGGTCGGCCTAGGAAAGGTTGGAGGGAGGGGGTAAAGGAGGTTTTGTGTGCGAGGGGTTTGGACTTCCAGCAGCCATGCGTGAGCGTGTTTGATAGGAGTGAATGGAGACAAATGGTTTTTAATACTTGACGTGCT